CCCTGTGCAGCGTTTATCACCATATAACTGTTAAGTTGCCTGCAGCTAGTAACAGACCGTGGAGAGAATGGGGGGGACGGGTAGTAGGAACGGTTTTGGGTAATCGATCTGCCGCAAGCGGCTGTCGCGGACCACTTGCCTCGTTATAACAGTTCTTACAGCTCAATCGCTATGCGATTATTACTTATGGCACGATTCTACTGTTAGTTCTTTTGTTCCTTATTTCTTCACTGCATTCTGCTACATTCCTCCGCGCGCGGCGTCTCTCTCGCCGCGACGCGGCAATTTCGTTCCTACTGCACCACACCCGTTCAAATTTACGATGACATAAGATACTCAACCGAAATCGACGGTTTCTTTCTCTCGAGAGCTAGGCAATCAAGAAAAGCAACGGAGAGACAAGCTCGTTCAGCGATTTGAGCAAAAGCCAATGAATAATGTTTTTTTGTCGCAGGAAGCTTTGCATGCCATGCTTGTTTAATTTGCGAGACAATAATTATTAGACAGTTATTTAATATGTACAACAATGTAAATGGCAACGGTAAAGGTAAAATTAGCAGCATCCAAATATAGAAACGAGTCCCAAGGGCGGGAACATTCGTATGTAGTAGGTTAACGTTTTGACGTCCTGACTAGGGCAGGATGTCATCGGGGATAATCAGAGGTATTTAATGGGAATCGTATTCGAAAGGTCAGCGATAAAGGTTGACGATCACAATAAACTTATACAAACTCAAAACATGGTACGGTTATGATCTGCTCATTGTGCCATCGAATAACTGCGATCTTAGGATCATCCTTATAGAGTAAAACATTACGAAAACAAATTGGAACAAAATACAACTAAAAAGAACACACTCAACCAAAATTTGAAGAAAAGCACACGCCTTGAACAAAAGTGAAACAGAATAGAAGCCACACTCTAAAATACTAATCGTAGTAATGATTTGGTGAGCGAGTATCTGAGTATTAGTTTCAGCGATCAGCATCTAGTGAAGAAGCATGGGTGTCATTCGACTGAAAATTGTAGTTCGAAGTATGCAAATTTATGCAACGAAAAGAAAACTGAAATAGAGATTAGATTAGGGCATATCCACACAAATAGTGAACGGGGTAGGTTTTCCAATGAAGCAGAGTTATTGCGGAACAAAATTGTAGGAAAGTTAGGGGAAACGTCCGTTGCGCGCGTCCGTCGGAAGTGGGTCACCCCACCCACTTCGCCCGCGGCGAATGATTAGCATTTGTCCGCGTTATTTCTGCTTTTGCTGGCGGCCGTGGACCAAGCACAAATCGTATGCCCACTGACAACTGCGACATTCGTCAAGTATCGCGGGCGGACCCGCCGCATGCGACGGCTGCGGTGTAACCTAGTTTCGACGGACGCGCGCAAAGAAGTGCATCCGAAAGTTAGCTGTAATCTCGTAAAGATAGTAATGGACTTCAGCGTCCCCACGTAATTTCTTATTTCTTTTTATTTGCGAATAAATCCGAATGTTATAATTTCTATCCTGGATTGCTTCTTTCGAAAAAAAAGAAACTCTAAAAACTTCCATCGAATAGATTGTGTACAGTGCGAAAAATTAACATCATCTTCTTGTTGAAAATTTATTACCTTGACAGGCTTTCCATCCTTGGTCCATTCGCATTTGACTGCTGTACCACTTTGAATACCCGCATAAAGCTTTGCGCTTTCACCGATTTTAACTTCTACTGTCGTTGCTTCTGGTTCAACAACGGGTTTTCCTGTAAATTCTTCCATTTGTAAGAAAAGTTTTATGTTATAGCCATTTCGAAGCCTCACCTATAACTTTCACTACGATACTTGTTGAGACCTTTCTTCCATCAGAACTAATTGCTGTACATTTATATTCACCAGCTGTTTCCTGGATTGCTGGCAGGATTTTGACAGTACTGGAGGTTTCATTTCCACTAATGATAAACTCGCTGGGCAATGAGCCACCATCTTTTGTCCATTGGAATTGTGTTGGTACGGATGCCTTTACTTTCAGCTCACCGCTGGCTCCTAATTCCAAGTTCAAAACACTATTTATGGGTTCCAACACAAGTTTCGGCACTTCCATCTTATCCTGTTTTTCCTCACCCTTTTTCTTGTCATCTTCAGCTTTGACCTCCTTCTTTTCCTTTTTCTTTTCTTCTTTCTTTTCAGCTTTCTTCTCTTCAGGCACTTTAGCCTCCTTGGCTTCCTCCTTCTCATCGAGCACCTCGACTTTCTCCTTGTCCTTGATCTTGTCATCTGCCGCTTCAACTTCCTTCTTTTCTTCACCTTTTTTCTTATCATCTTCAGCTTTGACTTCCTTCTTTTCCTTTTTCTTTTCTTCTTTCTTTTCAGCTTTCTTCTCATCAGGCACTTTAACCTCCTTGTCTCCCTCCTTCTCATCGGGCACCTCGACTTTCTCCTTGTCCTTTTTCTTGTCATCTGCAGCTTTGACTTCTTCTTTTTCCTTTTTCTTTTCTTCTTTCTTATCAGCTTTCTTCTCATCGAGCCCCTTGATTTCCTCTTTTTCCTTTTCCTTGTCCGTTAGGAGTTCCTGTTGAGGTGTAACGCCGTCTACGATCAAAGGTGTAACTTCCGTCACGTCCTGTATTGATCCGCCCTTTTCCACCTTTTGCTCCACTTCTGAACTGTCCTCTTGGGCCTTTTCAGTTAGAGCACTAGCTTCTTTTTCGACATCCTTCGTTTTCTTCTTCACCGTTTTCTTCTTCTTCTTTTCTTCAGCAGCTTTCTGCTGTTCAACTGTATCTTCCTTCTTTTCCTCATCAGTTTTCTTCAGCTTCGTTTCTTCTGGAGCAACAACTGCACCATCCACTGTAACTTCGCGATCGTGATCATCAATCTTGACCACTTCTCCATTCACTGCTTCCTTACCTTCTACGGCTAGATCTTCGAGAATGGCTTGGCCGTTCAATTGATCTGGTTCCCGAGAATCGGTAATACTAGCATCAAGTATGACTAAGAGTGGAGCAGTGCTGTCACTAGGCTTAGATTCAGAGTCTAAACTTTTGGCGATCACTCTATAGCAGAATGAACCGTTTTGCGTTAAAGAAGAATCTACAAAGTCAGTTCCGTCTGTGTTGACGATTTCACGCCAATCAGCTCCATCACATTGTCGTTCAAGCTGGTACACACTGGCTCCGGGTACTGCTTTCCACGACAACACAACCTTTGTTCCGTCAAGACTTGCCTCCGGTGTGTCCGGGGTGTCAAGAATGGACAGAAGCGAACTTGCGGATGAACTTATCCTAACTTCTTCGTCCTCTTTAGTAAGAACGTCAATCGCCTGACTTGGTGGCCCTTCTCCCACTGCATTCACAGCGATGACGCGGAAACCATAGACTTGACTGCTGAATAATTCCGTTGCTTCGAATCGCTTTGTGTTGGCGTTGGTTTTACCAATGGGCCGCCATCTACTGGTGTCAACAGCCTTTCTCTCTATGATAAAACCTGTAATCGGAGCCCCATTCGTTTTTTCGGGACTACTCCATGAGAGAACTGTAGAGTCCATAGTGGTTTCTGATGAATTCAAATCTAGTGGCTCAGAAGGCACATCAAGAACAGTCAAACGAATTTCCTTGTGCACAATTCCAACCGAGTTTTCTGCTGTGATCTTCACAGTGCCGCAGTCATCTCGATTGAGATTCTTCATTCGAACGCTAGTGACGTTATCGTACTCTTCGACTGACGCTCTGCTTTGAATTCGAGAGTCCTTGTGCAGGATGGTGACAGTAGGGTTCGGATAACCAATTGCCTCAACATGGAAAGCGAGCTCCTCGTGGGCTTTGAATTCCAACTCATCTTCCAAATTTTCTTGGATTATTATTTTAGGAGCCACCTCGAGCTTGAGGTGAGCTGGTGCCGAAACCTCTCGCTCATTCAGAGCAGCAGAATAATTTCCAATATCGTTCTTATCAATATTTCGAATTTCAAGAGTAGAAACGTTTCCTGCTGTGGTGATAACATATTTGTTAGCCTGTGGCCAGATTTCCTGCTCATTTTTGTACCAGAGCACTCTCTGAGCCGGTCTAGTGAGCTCGCAGCGGAACTGTGCCTCGGTTCCGAATTGATCCACTGTCAGATCCTGTGGACCAACACTGATGTGGGGTTCCTCTTCTGAAATTCAGATTTATTTTTAAGAAAAAATGTTTAATTGCACCGATCAAAGGTCTAATTGCCTCACCTTTCACAACCAATTCTCCCTCAGTTCTGCTTCTTCCGTCAGAGGTCTCGCAGCGATACATCCCATTGTCGTTGTCCTTCACGGTTGATATTTTTAATGTTCTCTTCGTACCTTCAGCTGAGATGACAAGGTGATCGTCTTCATGAAGCTTCTTGCCGTCTTTGTACCACACGACAACGCCATCTTCGTCAGATAGAGTGCAACAAAGCTCAATATCCTGACCCTCGATAACTTCGATGTATTCTGAGAAGGACGACACAAAGTGGCATCGCACGTCTGAATGAAAAATGAGAAAGTGCCAGTAATAATCTATTTTTCCTATGAATACAACAATGTACAAACCAGTAACGGTGACAGTTGCAGTACACTTTGCTGATCCATAAGGGTTTTCCACTTCGCAAGTGTATGAACCTGTGTCACCAGTGTCCACGCTGTGAATTATGAGAAGGCTCATGTACCCTTCATTGATGATCTATAAAGGGACGGAATTAATCTTATATCAATCATGGCAATCACAAATCATGTATTAAAAAAAGGTTGTGAATTTAGAAAACGAATTTATTGCAATCATACACTGTAACACACGATGTACGTCAATGTAGTCTTGAAGGCACAGTTCACTACAAAAACGTTCCTGTCATTCCTCCCTAGGAAGAACCTAAGCACCTGAGTACATAAGGGACGGTGTCGGGGTGGTAAAAAAGCCTTAGATAGGCGTAACAAAGACCGCAAGATCGGCGCAGACGGTGTACACACCCAAGGCGGACGAGTTCTCATGGCGTGGAGACTGTAGATATTGCATCATCGCACTAGGATGCCTATGTTGCACACAGCTTACTGTAGCCGACTCTGCACAATGGCACACACAGTTGGGCAGTTCTTCCAAATATCCCTGCCATGCAACTTTTAACGTCACATTCTCGTCTAGCCCTAGTTTTATTACTTTTTTCGAAGCCATGTATTCATTTCGATATGCCGATTTTTGCGTTTTTTTTTTTCGCAAATTTTGCACTAATCTCACTCATATCTCATAGCACTTCCATTATTCGTCTAAAACTAAATGCCTCGGAATTACCGTGAACCGTGCCTTTAATATAGGAGTGAATCGGGATCAGGAATTTACCTCCGTATTAGAGTTTTGCGGAATGACTTCTTTTCCGTCTTTATACCAAATGTACTCAGGAGCAGGCTCGGCAGTCGCATGGCATTCAAGTTGCAATGCTCGTTTCTTCGGTATCGTAGCGGATCGAATAGGTTTGATAATTACAGGAGGGACTTTTTCTGAAAAACAGAAGCGTTTGTCAGTGCGATTTCCCTCAAAATTTTCATCACAGACTTACGTGTAACTTTAATGGGTTCAGTTTCATCTGAAAACACTCCTATGCCTCCCTCATTTCGAAGGGCAACTTTGAACACGTAGGACACTCCTTCCTTCAGTTCTGCGACTGAGCACGTGTTCGTTGAGCAATCAATCTAAATTCGGTGGAATCACTGAAATGTTATGTACTGATGTCATGCGCATTCTGTCTCCTCAGTTAAAGCGCATAAGGTTCCCTCTTAGTCTGAAACGTATCAAGCAAACGTTCGTAACTTACCTCTGACCAAATCGATGACCCTTCAGATTTATACGCTACAGTGTACATGGACGATGTTTCCTCCTCCCATTCATCCCATTCGACGAAGACGCTGTTCTCGTCAGTGATGGTAGCGCGTGGTATGTTCAGAATCGCCGTAGGACAACCTATACATCAACCTTTGCAATATACCTTCAGGGTGGTATTTATGGAGCAATGAAAAACATTCCGGAACTAACCTAGAGTCTGTTTGATCATCAGGGGTTCGGACGCGAGGTTTGAGTTCGACTTGAGACCAGCCTCATTTACCGCTTCTACTTTGAATTCATATCTAATCTCTGAATGAAGATCTCCCACGACGTAGCGATTGGCAAAGACCAATTCGTCATTCATCTAGACAAAATTTGTAAACTATTACAAGGTGACGATGTGACGACATAGTCATTTTTAAATGTCCTGGTTGGTATCATACCTTTATCCATTCACCGCCGTTCTCACGAATGTAGACATCATACCCATATATGGGTGATCCGCCATCTTCTGTAGGCTTATTCCATTTCAATACACAACCGTCTCTACTGACGTCAGAAATGACAGGTTGTTCGTCGATTTGTGGAGCTTTGAACAAGCTGCCAGTGGTGATCTGTAAAACTTTGGTCTCGTTATCGTGAAGCTACCTTACGTGGTTATGTTGTGTTCGAAAGTAAAGAGAAACAGAACGTATAGGGGGAACAATTGGACGTACCACCGAGGTATCGGCAGGTTCTCCTGGTCCGTATTTGTTTACAGCAGCTACTCTCAGTATGTAGCCGGTCAGCATATCCAGATCTTCAACAGTGTGAGACGTCTTCGAACCAGACACCTAAAAAAACATGAGATATTCATTTTTTTTTTAAAAAACAGCATATGATTTCAATTCTTACATGAGCAACTTTATGGAACGTCCTGCGACCGTCTTCCTTTTTCTCTATGACGTATCCTGTTATGGGTTGCCCTCCATCGTCTGATGGCCTTTCCCAACTAATCGAGATAGAGTTACTTTCAATCTCGTTAACACATACGCTTGCCGGAGGTCCAGGTACATCTGAATCAGTGAGGAACTAATCGATAGATCCTAAATGAACCACATAATAATAAACAAACCTTTAACTTTAACTGTGAATGCTTCGACATCTTCTCCATGTTCGTTCGACAGCTTGATTGTGTACTCTCCAGAATCTGCTTTAGTCACTTGCCGCTTACAGAACTTCACCAAATTTTCGAGTACATCGATATGAGTCTTTGCATCTTCTCGGAGAGCGCTACCATTTAGGAAGCACGTCGCGACCACATCATCTTGACAGTCGAATCCTACATTCAGCATGATACTTTCATCTCTCTCAACCTCTACCACATCTCTGTGACTGTGTTTTATTCTCGGTTTGCCAGAAATGTGAAGGTTTGTGTAGGACTTAGAACCGTCAGCCTCTACAACGTACTGCCCTGCGTCGTCGAAATCCGCGTTTTTGATGGTGAGTCGACAAGACTTTCCATCGGAGGTGATCTCGTATTTTTCCGAGTCTTCAATTAACTTATCATCTTTGGTCCACTTAACGTCTTTCGGTGGGTGATCCAGTTCGATGATAAGGACGACAGGCGTATTCTCCTTACCGACTGTTCTGCGTTCTAATCGTTTGGTAATTTCAGCGAAAGTCTCTTCAACAGTAATTCTTGACGTTGCAACACTGTCTCCCAGTCGAACTTCGACGGTCATTCCTGTATCTTCTGGTTTCAGATCTGTGATCGTGAGGCTTCTGATAGGACCACTAATTTCTTCCTTGCTTCTTGACTCAACCTCACATGGTTTACCGTTGATGAACCACTCCACCTTATCATCCTCGTCCACCAATTCGCACTCGAGGCGCACTGTATCGCCACGAAGTGCTAACACCTCTCCTCCTGGTGTCGAGATGAAACCCTGCTTTCTCATTTTTCTCTTAGATACAGTATAACTTTCAATGCTGGAGGTTCCAGATGACCTCCTAGATGATCGACTGCTCACTGTTTCTTCCTCGAGTGAAATTCTTTCCATTCCATCTGGAACCATGTCGAAAGCGACTTCTGCTGACATTTCGCCATCAGGTATTCCATATTGCAGGTCAGCCTCTTTTTCATGGGTATCTGTGACTTCTATTCTTATCTTTTGTTCATCGACCTCATCTATTACAGGTTTCTCGTCAATTTCTACTTTTTCTGCAAGTTTCGCGTCTTCTGGCTTCACTTCTCCTTTTTTCTGCTCAGCCTTCTTCTTTTTATCCTTCTCAGCCTTCTTCAACTTTTCCTCAGGCTTCACCTTATCTTCAGGTACTGGTTCTTCGGTTGGTTTGACCTCCTCTCTTTTCTCCTCAGCCTTCTTCTTCTTTTCATCCTTCTTCACCTTGTCCTCAGGCTTCGCCTTTTCTTCAGGTACTGCTTCTTCGGTTGGCTTGACATCCTCTTTTTTCTCCTCTGGCTTCTTCTTCTTTTCATCCTTCTTCACCTTCTCCTCAGGCTTCACCTTTTCTTCAGGTACTGGCGCTTCGGCAGGTTTCTCCTCCTTCTTCTCCTCTGGCTTCTTCTTCTTTTCATCCTTCTTCACCTTGTCCTCAGGCTTCGCCTTTTCTTCAGGTACTGCTTCTTCGGTTGGTTTGACATCCTCTTTTTTCTCCTCCGGCTTCTTCTTCTTTTCATCCTTCTTCACCTTCTCCTCAGGCTTCACCTTTTCTTCAGGTACTGGCGCTTCAGCAGGTTTCTCCTCTCTCTTTTCCTCTGGCTTCTTCTTCTTTTCATCCTTCTTCACCTTCTCCTCAGGCTTCACCTTTTCTTCAGGTACTGGCGCTTCGGCAGGTTTCTCCTCCTTCTTCTCCTCTGGCTTCTTCTTCTTTTCATCCTTCTTCACCTTGTCCTCAGGCTTCGCCTTTTCTTCAGGTACTGCTTCTTCGGTTGGTTTGACATCCTCTTTTTTCTCCTCTGGCTTCTTCTTCTTTTCATCCTTCTTCACCTTCTCCTCAGGCTTCACCTTTTCTTCAGGTACCGGCGCTTCAGCAGGTTTCTCCTCTTTCTTCTCCTCGGGCTTCACCTTTTCTTCAGGTACTGGCGCTTCAGCAGGTTTCTCCTCTTTCTTCTCCTTTGGCTTCTTCTTCTTTTCATCCTTCTTCACCTTCTCCTCAGGCTTCACCTTTTCTTCAGATACTGGCGCTTCGGCAGGTTTCTCCTCTTTCTTCTCCTCAGGCTTCACCTTTTCTTCAGGTGCTGGCGCTTCAGCAGGTTTCTCCTCTTTCTTCTCTGGCTTCTTCTTCTTTTCATCCTTCTTCACCTTCTCCTCAGGTTTCACCTTTTCTTCAGGTACTGGCGCTTCGGCAGGTTTCTCCTCTTTCTTCTCCTCTGGCTTCTTCTTCTTTTCATCCTTCTTCACCTTTTCTTCAGGCGCAGGCTCCTCTTTAGGTCTCTCCTCTTCTTTCCTGACATCCGATTCAGGTTTGGGTGGAAGGCCAGATTTATCTTTAACTTTACTCGGTAATTTTTGTTTCGTTGAAGGTTCCTCTTTTACAAGTTCCGGTGTTTCCGAACGCCGTTTAAATGTAAACTCTGCTGTCTCACTCTCAGGAGTACCAGCCCTGGAACGAATTTTGCTAGCGCTATCCACTTTCATTGCAATACTTGCCGACTGTGGCCGCTTCACAGGTGACACTGCTTCAGCACTACCCTCTCTAGCAACGATTTTCGTGGTGATATTGGTCTCAGAGTGAAGGGTGCTTGGTTCCCCAAATCGAGAACTGATTTCATCAGGGATAACTAGAGCTTTTGGAATCTTCTTCCTTTTGCCTGTGCCCTGGAGATCGTCAGCCATGCTATCTTCCTTTGGTGGCACTTCTTCTTTTTCGGATATCTCTTCTGCTGGTTTACCTTCTTCTTTGACTTCCTTCTTCTTCTTCTTGTCAACCTTCTCTTTAGGCTTCTCCTCCTCTTTCGGCTTGGCCTCTTCCGCTGGTTTAACTTCTTCCTTGGGCTTCGCCTCCTCAGCGGGTTTGACTTCTTCTTTTACTTCCTTCTTCTTCTTCTCGTCAACCTTCTCTTTAGGCTTCTCCTCCTCTTTCGGCTTGGCCTCTTCCGCTGGTTTGACTTCTTCCTTGGGCTTCGCCTCCTCAGCGGGTTTGACTTCTTTTACTTCCTTCTTCTTCTTCTTGTCAACCTTCTCTTTAGGCTTCTCCTCCTCTTTCGGCTTGGCCTCTTCCGCTGGTTTGACTTCTTCCTTGGGCTTCGCCTCCTCAGCGGGTTTGACTTCTTCTTTTACTTCCTTCTTCTTCTTCTCGTCAACCTTCTCTTTAGGCTTCTCCACCTCTTTCGGCTTGGCCTCTTCCGCTGGTTTTACTTCTTCCTTGGGCTTCGCCTCCTCAGCGGGTTTGACTTCTTCTTTTACTTCCTTCTTCTTCTTCTCGTCAACCTTCTCTTTAGGCTTCTCCACCTCTTTCGGCTTGGCCTCTTCCGCTGGTTTGACTTCTTCCTTGGGCTTCGCCTCCTCAGCGGGTTTACCTTCTTCTTTGACTTCCTTCTTCTTCTTCTTGTCAACCTTCTCTTTAGGCTTCTCCTCCTCTTTCGGCTTGGCCTCTTCCGCTGGTTTGACTTCTTCCTTGGGCTTCGCCTCCTCAGCGGGTTTGACTTCTTCTTTTACTTCCTTCTTCTTCTTCTTCTTGTCAACCTTCTCTTTAGGCTTCTCCTCCTCTTTCAGCTTGGCCTCTTCCGCTGGTTTGACTTCTTCCTTGGGCTTCGCCTCCTTGACTTCTTCATCCACTGTGCTCTTTTCGACCTCTTCTTCTTCCTTGTGCTCCTCTTCTTTTGTCTTCACTTCTTCATAGTCGATATGCTGGAATAATTCAATCATTACTCTTTTGCTTCTCTCAATTTGATTATTCAATTTCTAGGTACTGTATTAGTGTCCAAATCCAGCGATGCCATACAAAGATCATGCACAACTTTTCAAGTAAAATAACCGCGTTTGATATTTGTACTCACATCGACTTCTTCTTGCTGTTCTCCCTCTTCTTTAGGTATCTCAATGGCAGATCCGTCTTCTAGAGCAAATTCGACTTCTTCTAAACATATGATTCGCATGTACGAAAAAATAAACTAGAAACTTAGAAAAAAGAGAGGCATGGGGCTGTGCATGGCATGTGGCTTGTGCAGCCAATTGACCATGACCAATATCGAAAACTAATGACCTAATCAGAAACGTCTATTTTGGATTTTTGTTGTTCTTTTATGTTTACGATGGGGAAAGTGCGCACATAGGTGTTGCTATAATTAGAAGTTCGCATCATCACTAAAATTTAGCTTGAGCGTTAAGAAACAGTAGACAGTAGATGGAAGTTAGCAAGAAAGCAGGGATCAAATGATTGTTGTGGGCGGAAGCTTTGGCAAGGTGAGCTGAGCTAGAAATCCATGAAAGGTCCCGACACAACTTAATTGTGAGAGCATAGTGAATAGAAGCTAGTGAAGGAGTAGACCTAAATGCTTCTGGCATGCAGAACGTCCAGATGGGTGGCAAAAGCGAAGCCAAAATTTTGTACATCGGTTCCTCGCTGTCTGAAACTCAGGGAAGCAGAGTAGGGGAAGAGGTCAGATGTCTACAATGTTGGGAGCCATAGCAGGTAACTAGAACACTAGGGAAGGAGTATTTTGCGTCACAATTGAGCAACTTTGCAAAACTTCAACAGAAGCTGCAAGAAAGAAATTGTTTAGAGGTGAGCGGAGGACAGCTACCTTGAAGGCACGGTTCGCGATGATTCAATGGGCGGGTGTGTCAATGACGTGTCCGCCTTTCATTCGATGTCACGTCAGGCAGTCTGACGTGGCGTCGANTGAGAGGCGGACACGTCATTGACGTGCCCGCCCATTGAACTACCGCGAACTGTGCCTTTAGTACTCAATAAGGCCAACAAAACACTTCCTCCAGCTGTCGTTCAAAGTGAAAAGAGAAATAGTTGGAATAGTTATTTACCTTCGGTTTCTTCGGTCGTTTCGACATCCACTGCTTTGCTAGGTTTTCCTTGTCCAATGGAATTAATAGCGCTAACTCGGAACGCGTAAATTTCATTCGGCAGTAAATCACTGGTCGTGTATGAGAGACGTTCAGCCGGCACATGGGCCACTGTTCGCCATCGCGAAAATTCTAGTGATTTCCGCTCCACACAGTATTCAATGATAGGTGCTCCATTACAGAGTGTTGGTGCAGTCCACGAAATTGTGGCTTTTGTAGAGCCGATATCATGTGCTTTCACATTCAGAGGCTCAGAGGGCACGTCAAAGACTTCTACTGGAATGTCAAGCGTAGTTTCACCGTGCTCATTTCTTGCCGTGAACTTCACGTTGCAAGTTTTCTTAACCTTCTTTACACGGACAGAGACGTAGTCATCGTATGTTTCAACGTCAGCAGCAACCCTTAAATCCTCGCCATCAAGCAACATTTCCAGTCGAGGTGTTGGATATCCTCTGAATGCGACTGTGAAATCAAAGTGCTTTCCAGCAGCGATCGGACCAGTGGGACCGTCGTAACATAGTAGTGGTTCGGTATGATAGTCCAACTCTGCTGCCGTAGACTTCTCTTCGTCATTGAGTAGAGCGTAGTACTTTCCGATGTCACGCTGGTCAACATTGTGAATGATAAGATTAGACCCATTGTCATTAGTTTCTATCTCGACTTTATCTTTCTGGGCCCACATCTCTCGGCTATCCCGGAACCATTTCACGCTTTGAACAGGTCCATCAAATTTGCACACAAACATTACTGTTTGACCGTCCTCAGTAACTGTTTGAGAAGCAGGATGCTGTGTAATGAGAGGACCTGAAATTATCATGAGTTCTCGCCTGTTATCACGAAAACAGTTTTTTGTTTAGTAGCGCAGCTGTTTTGGAACAATGAATTAATCAAAAATCAGTCCATGTAAACTAAATTGAAAACTCAAAGCGATTCATTCCCAGTTGTTAGTTCTCAGGTTGGAAGTATAGTCCAACTGAAATGTGAAAACAGTTCAAGAAAATTTGAGCCTAAGGAACCCCCATAAACTAAAATCATTCCTCAAGACATTACCACAGTGTGGAAATCAATCCATTTTTTACCGGGGTATCAAAAACAGAGCCCCTCACTTGAAGCATTGAAAACTCCTATACCCGTCTCTCACCATAAAATAGAATATCTCAACAATGAGTAACATAATCTGAAAATACATACCGAGCAAACTGATTTTTTCGGTCAATCCTTTGTGCTCTTCTTCCACAAGCTGTAACTCGGCTTTTACCTCCTCTTGTGGAAGTTTTTCTATAACTGCTTCGTTTTCATCCTCTTTATGCTCTGCAATTTCTCTCTCTGGTTTGACCTCTTCTTTGACTTCCTTCTTTTTCTTCTTCTTGTCAACTTTCTCTTTAGGTTTATCTTCCTCTTTCGGCTTAGCCTCTTCCGCTGGTTTGACTTCTTCCTTGGGCTTGGCCTCTTCAGCGGGTTTGACTTCTTCTTCCTTTTTCTTCTTCTTGTCAACTTTCTCTTTAGGTTTCTCTTCCTCTTTCGGCTTGGCCTCTTCCGCTGGTTTGACTTCTTCTTCCTTTTTCTTCTTCTTGTCAACTTTCTCTTTAGGTTTATCTTCCTCTTTCGGCTTAGCCTCTTCCGTTGGTTTGACTTCTTCCTTAGGCTTAGCCTCTTCCGCTGATTTGACTTCTTCTTCCTTTTTCTTCTTCTTATCAACTTTCTCTTTAGGTTTCTCATCCTCTTTCGGCTTAGCCTCTTCAGCTGGTTTGACTTCTTCCTTGGGCTTGGCCTCTTCTTCTTCTTTGGTTCCTAGTTCAATGACTGCTTCGATTACTTCGTCTTCCTCAAGTTCAAACTCGTCCTTTATCTTTAATACTGATTCTAGGTCGAAAGTCTCTTCTACGACCTCTTCTTCTTCGTCAGGCATATCAACTTCAACAACGTTGCTTGGCAATCCTTCCCCAAATTGATTTACAGCTTTAATTCTGAAAGCGTAGAATTCCTTGGGAATAAGTTCAGTACATGTATACGTTTTTGAGGAAGTTGTCGTCATTCTCCTCCATCTACCGCTTTCCGCTGTGCGCCTTTCAACGACATAGTGAACAATATCACTCTCATCAGCTTGTGGAGCATCCCACTCAATAGTGGCGGTTGTAGGTGTCACATCGGTGAGCCGAGCATGTTTCGGTGCTGATGGAGTGTCCATCAATTTCAATTCAAAGGAGGCCTGTGTTTTACCAGACTCATTTGAAAGAATGATCGTGATTTCGCCCTCGTCTTTCTTCTTTAAATTCTTCACTCTTATGGAAAGGCTGTCCTCGTACTGATCGATATCTGACTCCACGGTCATCGCTTGTCCCTGGTGTAGTATTTTGATTTGTGGAGTTGGGAAAGCTGTGTACTTCAGTTGGATATCTAGCGGTTTTCCGATTTGATGATTGATGACCGATGGGATTCTGGAAAATGCCAAATCATAACCTATCATGGATTAGGAAAAATAATTTCATTTTGTAGCCTCGTCCGGATCCCTTGCGATTTGTTGTATGACTGACCGCCACTGCAGTATTACTGCCATTTCTATTAGAACTTATATGAAATAGTTGCTAATATTAGTTTGGGTGTATATGGCAATGATGACGGTTATGCAATGCACCAAATCGCAAGTTCCAAATTAAACACATCGAAACTCACTTATCCTTCAGCTGGGGTGGAATATTGGCCGAAAGTTGAGCAGGATTGCTTCCAACGTCGTCGATAACAACATGATATGTTCCAATGTAGAAGGGTATGAACTTGTTTAAGACGAGACGTGTTTCGTTCCCTGAGGTTTCGATATCGATGAATTCGTTGGAACTTATGATCATCCCGTTCTTGAACCATGATGCGTTCTTTATAGGTTTCAAAGCTGAGCAACTGAGTACAGCCGTTTCTTCAAGGTCCCTCAGTTCGACTGATTCTGGATGTTTCACTATAACTTGCCCTTCGACCGCTTCATCCTCATCTAGCATATCTGAAATTACTCAAAAACTAGGCATAATCAAAATCTATTTATGGATTGTCATCCTACATGCTATATAGCCCTTCCTATATCACATCAGTGAAATATTACTGAAGGAATACGTACTTCACGCTAGAGTTCGATGCTGGGGGCAAAAGAAAGGCTTCATATGGCAATTATGCAGTAAGAAAAGTCTTGTACAATTACCTAGGCAACTTCGAAAAAGCCAAGAGCTTTAACCAATGCTAAGCCCTCCAGCCATCACTGACAAACACCTTTAGCTTTAACAGTATCGCATCACGTACCCAAGTCTATTTCCGCACGACGCCCGATTCGTTTCCTGACGGATAGCTTGTTTTTCGAAATTTCAATACATGCTTCGGTTTCTTCGGCTGCTGGAGGTCTGTCTTCTTCGATAAGCCTAGAAACTGTGCTGACTGCAGAAGGCATCTGCACGGTAGTAGAAATCTCCTGAAATAGTTATTGTAATATTTTAGACTGAGAATATCCGTGACATCTTTAATTTTAATAACTTCCCTGTGCCAACAATGCTTCTGGGAAAAACACAGTGAACCACTTCTACCCGGCTATCTCTTGCTCATTTTTATTTAATGACTAATGAACCACTCGCGCCGTATGCAAAACCAGCTTACCACTGCAAAATCCCTTTAAGACTTCGTTTTGAGAGAATAGTGTTTGCATATATCACTCCTACTCTTCTTCTTTCATGTTACACTTATATCTTCTCCTTTTTACCCCCTCCATACCGAGCATTTCTAGGATCTGTTGTTCCTGCTGGTTAACTCCACTTCTTCCTATCTACGGCATTTTCTGCCGTTATTTTAGCCTCGGCGAGGTTCTTAATGGCGTTAAGTTATCACTTTTTTGGGACTCCTCCTGGTCTACGCTGTTTATCATCAAGTTTCATTGCTTCCCTTATTGGATGTTCCTGTAACCTTTTCAGTGCTTGTCGAAATTATCACATACGCTGCTCTATCACATTCAGCCATTTTTCGTTATGTGAGAAGTTATAGTTTCTATTTTGTGCCGATATATGAATTAGCTGATTAATCGAGTTAATTGAATGAAATTAACTATTCTCTAATGAAGTGACAGTCAATGGCCTCACTTGTGAGAATCTTGAAATCTTGAAATATACTCCTCCCATCACAAGAAATCTAGAATTAAGTCCTGTTTAAAAGCTATTTCCAGTCATTAATTACCCAAGATTTGGGTCGTCGCTTTCCCATCATGTGCAAATAGGGAACATAATGGAGCTAACTTAAAGATTAAAGCTTCCCGATTCCGAGTTTTTGGAGTCACTTTGCAAGTGAAAAGCGGGAGTGAGCCGTTTGTGTTGGTACTTTGTAGGCTAAGTATATATACTTGAGATAAGCCGCTAACAAAGTTGCATCCAGAGAAAATTTGAGAATTCGAACACTTACTTGTACGGCATTTATCTGTGCAAAAGCGTCGATGCCATCTTCTTGCCCAACAGAGTCGAGTAGTACATCAACTTCGATGACGTCTGCTTCAGACTCACAAATACTTAACTCGTTTTCATCGTAATCGAAGAAGTTCAGATCGACAAGCGCATCCGTCTTGGCAGACTCCTCTCCGGCTTCTATGTCGATGTCCACATGAATATCGTGCGTACCTTAAAAGGAAATTTAGATGTATCATTTTCTTCACGAATATACGATGATGGGGATGGGCTGGGATGGGCTGCACTTACTCATACTTCTACTAGGTGAACATTACACAGCCGGAGTTGCTGGGTTAGTTTTAACGGAAATATATTTGAACAAAGATTGGTGGGGGTTTAAAGTGCTAATCTACAAAGTAGGCAACGCAACTACGTCTAATAAAGGGACTATGTCATGGACCAAGTCCCGTTTGAGCCCACAAACTTTTAGTTATCCAGAATCGATCAACTGAAATGAAAGCCGTCTTGGAAAAGTAAAAACAATAACGCGATTTGTGATTGAAAGTCATAGTTAACGCCGGAAGACCGCAATTGCTGTTTAAATGGAAAGAAACTCTTGGCATATTTATAAAAGAGCTTATTATTCCCGAGTTCGTATTACACTTCACATGTTGAATTAAAAAGTCACGTGGGCGCACGTGGACATGGGTGAGGGGCATGTTACGAAATAGGAAGTCTATCGATACTGTATTGGTCTCACTGGCTGCTTTCATAGTCCGCCGGCGTGCCGGCGTGCCAGCCGAGTGGGAGACGGGCGTCAGCAACGATTTTGGGTAATCGACTTGACGCACGCGGCTGTCACGGACCACTCATTCGCCGTTATTACAGCTCTAGCGTTCTTCATACAGCTCAATCGATATGCGATCATTATTTTATGCATAATTCTACTATTAGTACCTTTAGTCTTGTATTTCTTACCNACTGCTGCATCATGCTACATTCCTTTGCGCGCGACGCCCCTCTCACCGCGACGCGACCATTTCGTTCTTAACGCACTACACCACAGCCGAGGCAGTGCTAGGGGGGAGGGGAGGCAGACGGTCGGTCGAAGCAGTCGCGTCGCGCCCAAGCCCTTTCGAAGGGCTGAAAACAAGGAAAGACAAGACCAAAAACCATTTGCATTACCCCCTGGTTGTTTGGCATTTGATCTTGTTTCTCCTTGTTTTCAGCCCTTCGAAGGAGCTTGGGCGCGTTGCGACCGCGTCGACCAACCGTCTGCCTCCCTCCTCCTCCCCTAGCACTACCTTGGCTGGCACGCCGGCGGACTACTCGACCGACGGTATCGTCCGAGATTTAGCTGTAAACGAAGGGCAAGCACCGCCCCCGGCTGGTGGACCATGAAAGCAGCCACTAACAATTACTGGGTGATGTGTTGCACGCGTTAACCTGCACAGCCCAAGTGGTGAACTCATAAATGATGAGGGCTGATGATAACGAGTGCTGATAAGCATGAAAAAGCAAAGCATACATCTAGGGCAAATTGAAAAAGGTACCTGAAGCTGTACGTTTCCTGGAAACATTGATTTCTAAATGTTCCGCTTTCGGTGGAGATGGCGGGGACTTATCCTCTTCAGACGGTGTGACCTTTATGCCAACTTTGTCGCGTCTCTTCACCTTCTTTTTCTTCTTTTTCAAGCCTTTGTCCTGCTTTATGTTTGCCATTTCAACAACGTCCGTTAAGATGACTGAAATGTAAACATTACGTCTCATATGAGTCGTAACGTTGCTCACATAGGATTACAACAAAATTCCACTTACTATTTTCATCCTTTTCCTTTTCCTCTTCTGTCGGCTTTTCAGGCTTTGTGATACTCGCTTTCTTTTCGAAAATTACCCCTATTCCAATTTTCTCTGTTCGCTGCTTAACAAGCGAAAATTCACTAGATATCTCTTGGAAATCAGGTTGGTGAACAGACGCCACTATGACTTCAGTGGTTACCTCGGACAAGCAAGACACAGTCCCTTCTATGGATTCTGATCGGCTGAAGTTGGCCGCTAAATCAGCTTTTCCCTTTCCTTTAGGCTTCTCTTCATCTTTCGGCTTAGCCTCCTCTGCTGGTTTGACTTCTTCCTTCGGCTTGGCCTCTTCTGATGGTTTGGCTTCCTTCTTCTTCTTTTCGACTTTCTCTTTAGGTTTTTCTTCTTCTTTCGGCTTAGCCTCCTCCGCTGGTTTGACTTCTTCCTTGGGCTTGGCCTCTTCAGCGGGTTTGACTTCTTCCTTTACTTCCTTCTTCTTCTTGTCAACCTTCTCTTTAGGCTTCTCTTCCTCTTTCGGCTTAACCTCCTCACCTGGTTTGACTTCTTCCTTTGGCTTGGCCTCTTCTGATGGTTTGGCTTCCTTCTTCTTCTTGTCAACCTTCTCTTTGGGCTTCTCTTCCTCTTTCGGCTTAGCCTCCTCCGCTGGTTTGACTTCTTCCTTGGGCTTGGCCTCTTCAGCG